AAAAAAATAAAAATAGAAAATTATCCATCACTTCTCCGAACTATTATAATTCGTCCGCGATCCGTCGTTTCGAAACACGAGGCAAACACGTGCGTAAACGCCTATCCACGTCGCGTTTTTTTCACCGTCTCTCTCTCTCTCTCTCTCTCTCCCTTCGAACGTGATATTTCTCGTGAGAAGATCGAAAATGATCGATTGGTCGATACATTGGTTGGAACAAAAATTGGCGAAGCATTTTTTCCGATCGAAGGAGTACGGGAAGATTGGATGGGTGTGTTTCTCTTACGATGCGCGGAAAAAAAAGGCGATGGATGACCGGTGGATGGTATCAGAAGGTCGCTATTCCGCCGCAGGCTAGGCCACGGCAAGGTGAGAGAGGAGTATCGGAATCGGCCGCGAGATGTCGCGGTGAAATGCTCGCGGAGCAAGGCGAGCCGCGGTGTTACGGCATTCGAACGGCGACAGTGCCGTAAAAACATCGTTTTCTTTTTCGAGGAACACGGATTATCTCCAACTTTCCGACGAAATATAGAATCGATCGTGGCCAAAAATTTCGAGAATCGTCGTTGCGTTCGAAGAACGAAGGGATGGCGAGGAGAAGTGGGACCAAAAGCAGCGATGTCTCTCTTATATAAAAGCGTGGAGCGAACGAGAGCTGGCCAAGATCGTGGAAATAGCTGAGCCACGGTGTTGATGTCGAGCGAAGAAGCGAACAGAAGCCAGGCCAGAAACGCTCTCCTTTTACTTGGTTCGAAAGCAGATCCATTCGAAAGGCGAGGCGTGTCATCGATTTTTAAAGAATTCTTCGCGTTCGCGAAGAATACTTTTGTCGATCGTACACGGGGATTCGTCGCTCGATACGGTTTTCGAAAGCGCGTCTCCAGAAATTCGTTTAACCAGTTCGAAAATATTTTACGAACGATCGAGCCAAAATATTCGTATTTTAATCGAAACGATCGAACGAAAGAACGAAAGGAAAAAACGCGAAGAAAATACGAGCCGATTAATATTATTGGTAACGCGTCATATATCGCAAGAAATTTTCCGATTAATTTACGTCAATGGTAAAAGTCCGATATATTATTGGAACAAATAGATCGATTAAAGCAGGAAGGAAATGGTAATGAAAGATTGAAAAAGTGGGAAAGAAAAAAAAAAAAAAAAAAAAAAGAGAAAAAAGTAATGGGTAAAAGCGGAAGGTTATCGGACAGGCGTAGACGGCACTGAGGCCCAGGTGGAGGTGGTAGCCGGGCCCCATTCTCTGTTGGTCCTGTCGTCTGTCAGTGGAGCTCAGTCAGCAGACAGTCGGTCCGTCCGGTCAGCTGGTCCCGTCCAATCGTGTTAAAAGCTACCCGATGGTAAGCCGAAGGCGAAACACCCGATAGAACCCGGGTCAATCGAGCCTCGATCGTCAAGGATCGTTGAAAGAAAACGGCGGCCCGCGCGCCGCATGTGCGCGAGTGTAAAAACTTCTCCACCGGAAACACCAACGACACGGTGCGAGGTGCCAACTAAATCGAACGGCAGAGGAACACGGAGTGGCGGAGGGAAACGAAGGAAGAGGATAGAAACGCGACGGGGACGGTGTACACCTGGTCAGGCAGGAAATGACTATATCGTACGCGAGCGAAGTGCCAAATGGCTCCAGCTTCGGCTGCTTCTGGAGGATCTTGGTCAAGTGAGTCTTTTTTCTCTCCTCCTCCTCCTCCTCTTCCTTCATCGTATCCACGTCATTATTTCGCCACCTCGTCACGCCGATTGAATATCGCGCGATAATTTCCCTCGTGCGCGATATCGCGATCGATCGCGATCGATCTCGCGACACCGTGACAGGTCGAACGGATCCGCCGCCGCTTCCTACACGAGGCCTTAGCAACAAGTTCACAAGGTATAATGGATCGTCCTCTCGAAATTCCGTTCGACACCGGTGGAACACCACTGCTCGCGCTATCCGCACTTTGTCCCTTCGAAACCATTCCCCAAACGGAAAACGCGAGTCGCGACGTTATCGTCTCGTACCTCGTAGTAGTAATATTAGTAGTTGTAGTAGTAGTAGTAGTAGTGGTGGTGGTGGCGGTGGTGTAGTAGTAGGAAACACCGCGACGCGCTTACGTTACGAGCGCGATACGCGAAAAGGCGGTGCTCTCACTTTCCTCACGGTGGATTAATTTCACGGTGACCGCGAGAGAGGAGGCGCGCGATCGATCCGCCGTTTTCTTCAAAAAAAAAAAAAAAAAAAAAAAGAAGAGAGAAAAATTCTCCTCGCGAAAAGACTCGTCCCGCGCCCCGACGACTCGGATTTTCGACGTGCGGATCGTGATCGAAATAGAGGTATGGTGTATACCTTTGGACACGCGTGCGGCCGAGGCGAGCGTTCCACAAGATACTGGAGCATAAGCTTCTAGACGGTTTACATAGTCGGCGTGCCATGTAAGACGAAGATATTGCGATATCGCGACCGGTGGTTCGTTGTGCAACGTTTAACTTTCGACTCGATGTATCGTGTTCTCGATTTAGAGGCTGGCTGGCTGCATAGGGGAGAAGGAGGAGGGAAGAGAGAGAGAGAGAGAGAGAGAGAACGATCGAGTCCTTGGACAAGGATTCTGCAAACGCACGTGCGGAAAACGAGGAAAATCAATAATAATCCAATCTCCTTTTTCTTTTCCCTCTCTCTCATTCGTTCTCTTTCACCAGTTGGATGGTTCGCGGATCGATTCGTAATCTTCACGAGCGTCACGTTAACGTTAAAACGAGGTGGTATGGGCAGAGACAGAAATTGTCCTGATTTTTTTTTCCCTCAGAAAAAAACGTACGGTTATATGAATCACAGTAGCGGAGCACGTAAAACCCGCTAGCACAGAAATGGTGCTCGGTCAACGCTTGCCAGTATACGTTTTAAGGAAATAAGGTCGTCGATACATCGATTTTAGCCGTAACGACGCGCGCATTACGTGGAATATCGCCACGCTGTTCTCTACACCTCTGCCATCGAGATTTTCGTTCCAGTTGTCGGTTACATACGAATGAATACCGGTATTCACGGTGGCCAAGTTTCTCCGCCCATTTCTCTATTATTTAATCTCTATTATTTATAATTTCTCTCCCGATGGATCTAACGATCGATTTATATATTAAAATCGTTAACGGGGGAAAAAAATCTGTCCTTTTTTTTTTCTTTCTATTTTTTCCTTTTTATCCACATTTCACGCGGATTCAACGCGAATTCAACGTTCTTCTATAAAAAAAAAAAAAAAAAAAAACTTGATCGATTTCCGCGTGGAAAAACCATTTCCACGTTGCGAGAGTTTCCTAGGAATCCGGGGATATCGATGCTCGTAGAGAGCAGATCGCGCTAAGTTGCACGTTATACAATGATCCTTATGTAAATCTTGGACGGCACGAATCCGTCCGAACGGTTAAATACGGGTTTGTCTGAACAACGTGGCGTGCAGGCCAGGATTCCGAGAACGGAAGAGGGCAAGGCAGAGACGGAATCGGCTGATCGAATACGCGGCATCCGTCGAACGGTATCGACGTAGCAACGCGCATCTCCGAAACGGAGAATCCGCCAACACTTGTGAATAAACCTCGGAACGGAGGAGGCGCGACGCACGTGTGGAATCACACGACGAGTCGATAAAATCGATTGGTATTCGGCCGTATCGGAATGCACGGAGAAAAATAAATAATAATTCGTTCCTGTTCGCTCGGAAAGGAAAGGAAAGGCAGGTTATTATTGATCGGAGAGTTATTAATTTAAAAGAGAAAAAAAAAAAAAAAAAAAAAATGGGATGACGCAAGGCGAATCGCTGCGAATTCCTCGGCCGCGAGTGTTCGTGAAAATGCATAATCTCAGCCAGGATAACGTACGATTTGTCGAACGTCCTTGCCGAGACTCGTTTATTGACATTTGCACGACCTTTAGGTGCGGCGTCGGTGGATCCTCCGGTGATAATCTCGGTTTCTCTCAGGACTCGGGCGAGCGCCAACTTGAAAACGGCCTTAACGGCTTTCACGTAAGATCTCGCTTTCCTAAGGCTCGTTACAGCGCGCGCGCTGTCCAACAGACTGCGACCGACGAGTATACATCTATAAATAACCAACAACTTCCACAAATAGAAAACGCTTTTGTGATAGCACGCGCAACAACGATATCCTCGAGCTGGATATTACTATATTGTAAATTATACACGCTCGATTCAGGAACAGGAAAGTGCTTCCGATGCTACGCGATCAGAGCGAATAATAAATATATATATTTTCAGCATTCACTCATTCCGAGTGTTGGAACGATTTTAATAGCGTGGTCGAGTCGAAATTTCGCGAGAGGATCCTTTTCCGTTCCGTGGAGCAACGGGATAGCGTCGTTGAGCTAAGTAAATGAAAAAATATAACGAGACAAAAGATAAAAGAATAGAGGGAATAAACGCGGTAGTAATCGAAGCGCGGAAAGGATTTTTCAATCGCGAGATTCTCGATACAAGAGCGGATTTCATGCGGCTTAGATGCAACCGGCACGCAAGGAGCGTCCTTTTTCTCGTTTCAAGTGTTCCGGAACGGTCCATATCAGCTTTCCTATCCAACCTCGTCGGCAGACAAAGAGAACACAACGATCGCGGATCTATAAATATCCGAGAGAGTCCAGAAACGCATCTATAAATATCGGATCGCGGATAGGCCGGGAATAGAGAGAAAATCGCGGCTAATTTTCCATCGGAATAGCAATCATCGGCCGTATATGCGTGGAGATACGCCGGGTGGAGGGGGAGCGTGAGTTGGAAGCGTGGTCGTTAAGCGGACTCGTTGATTGGCGGTTAGAAACGTTGTTTGGCTCGCGCGTGCGCCACTACGAAACGAATTAAATCGCGAGAGTGCTCGCGACCGTTTATTTCAGCGCTCGCTCGCCTCAGAGAATCCGCTTCCTCGCTCCCGGCCTCTGCTGCCACGCGTAACCGTTGCGCCGATCACGCGCGCCAAACGGGCCCGCCGCGTGAACGGAACAACCGTGGCAGCGAATCGCGCGCGTGAAAGCAACAACGGTTTTCACAATGCGATCGGGATCCTCCGCGGGATCCTCGCCTTCGCGCTCGCGAACTCGCGAAAAAGTGAAATCCGATCGACTTTTCAACCGACTCATTCGCCGCATTCCACCGCGCCACGGCTCTTCTCCATCCTTCCGTATCTACACCGTCTCGCTCGGAAATACAATTTCTAACCGAGTGAAATCAATATATATATATATATATATATATATATGTATGTACGTATGCAACATCGTGCATTTACTCTCCGAAAGCATTACCGCGTATATTCGTTACATTCGTTATATTCGTTACATTCGTTATATTCGTTACATTCGTTACATTCGTTATATTCGTTACATCCGTGTAGCTCGGTGATAACCATCGCGACGAAAAGAGTAAGCGAGGCGAATAAAAGGAGGGAGCGAAATCGTTCCGTCCGTTCGACGAAATCGGGAAGATCGGTTGGAGAGAAGCGGCGATATCGAAACGGACAACTTTCTTCGATCGACGAAGGAGGAATCGAGCAACTAGGCCGTTGTCTCCTGAAATTGGACGAGGAGGCGCGTCGTCGGGAGAATGCGAGAAGGCGGGATCTCGCGTGCTGATCGGTAGCTCGGCGCTGTGTCGTGTCGTGTCGTGTCAACTTGCGCCGAGTTCGTACATACAAGCCTCTCCTCGCGAATTTAACGCTGCCTCTCGGCCGTCTTCGTTTCTTTCACGGGACTGCGTCGCTGTTCACCGCACGAACGTTGTTGCATTCGCACTACGTCGAATGACAATGAGACGGAGACCGATACGCGCGCCCCGCACACACGCGCTTCCACCGTATGACACACATTTCGTTCACCTCTCTTGTCTTCCGCGGACTGCAGCGAGTACTAAGCGCGTGCGCGCGCGTCCCTATTCGCGCCACGGTGTCGTGCCACATGCGTGAACATGCGCGCGCGCGCCTGCACTCGTGGGGACGCGATGTCGCTATCGAACCGCCTAGAAACCTGAGCTGACCCAGTGTCTCCCGCGTTTGATCGTTCTCGAATCTTTTTCCTCCTCCTCCTCCTCCTCCTCCTCCTTCCGATCCCGGTTCCTCATTTTTATTATTTATCGTTAATTTACTTACTTCGACTCTTCGGTTTTTCAACAACTTATCGCATCTTTCATTTTTTTTTTTTTTAGAGTCAACGATTAATTTTCATTAAAAAAAAGAAATTACTTTTGTTTGTTGTACGTACACTATAGCTTTTGAGAATTCGTGCAAGGTAAGATTAATACCAATTTGATCGAAAGGAGAGAAGATAATTTCAAAGTCTCGCGTATTTAACGCGTAAAAATTGTTCCATCCATCGTTTGGACACATTCGGCGAGCCTCGTTGATCGATCATTCCCGATTTTTGAATTGGACCGAGAGGAGAGAATTTTTCGGGCGGAACTCGTTTTCTCTTCCGCGAAGGCACACTTGAAAAGTTTCCATTGGTCCTTGATCGCGTAGAAGAGTGCGCGTACACGACGACGACGACGACGGTTAAACGACACGATACAGGGACGAACGACTCGTTTGCAATGGGTGGAATGGCGAGGTATAATCGTTTGACCGGCGGACAGACGTGTGACGGGCATTCCGTTCTGCTCCTTTACTAATTAAAATGTGGAGCCATCC